TTCCCCTCATGAGGATGTTGAAGACCTCAGTGAAGTCTCCCTTCAGTCTCCCCTTCTCCAGGCTGAACATACCAAGTCACCTCAGCTGCTGCGCACAGAGTTCCCCCTCCAGGCCCTTCACTATCTTTGCTGCCCTCCTTTGGACACCCTCTAATGGCTTAATATCTTTCTTATATTGTGGTGCCCAAACCTGCACACAATATTCAAGGTGAGGCTGCACCAGTGCAGAGCAGAGCAGGACAATCCCCTCCTTTGATGGGCTGGCTCACCAAAAACCAGCAGTAAAGAAACATTTACTATTGGCTTTTCTGGGCAAATAGATCTTGTAGCTTGTTTGTTTTATGAACAGATTATTAATTAAATTATTATCTCTATATCCAGATAAGGGTGGTGAGAGGTGCCTTGAAGGTAAAGGGAAGATGAAAACAGGACAAAGTTGGGCAGTTTGCTGACAGGACACCAGAGCTGTATTTCCTCTGCAGAGCATCAATGATGCAATTAGAGCTGCAGAGGTCAGCAATCAATTATAAGCAGATCTCTGGATATTTCAGAGGTCAAGGCTCACTAGGTAGACATGCAAGGGCTACAGTAGCACTACTCAAACAGCCTTTAATCAATTGTTCACGATACTACGCTGGCTAGAGCAATGAAAAACTAATCATGTTTTGTGGCCACAATTCAGTGCAATGTTCTGAAGACAGGAAACCCAGATTACTTATTACACCATTTGCTCTTAAGTTAAGAAACAACCGATATAATGAGATTTTCTAAAACAGAATTGTGCATTCTGTACAATCAGATTACAAAATCCAGTAATCCTCCCACAGTACTGACCTGAAAGGGTTTCTAACATAGCTTAGCAAGGAAGGAAATTAGGAGACATGGTTGCTTTCTCTTTGGAAGGAGATCAGGAAGTCCCAAAATCTAAACTTGACTGTTATGGTGCAAGCCAGAGAAAGCCTTGCTAAAGGAAAGAAACACGCACCACTCTGTCCATGGAATTACACAGATAATAGTAGAAGGCTACCCAATTGGCATTTTTCCCTTTACAAACCCATGCCAACTCCTCCCCATCACCATTTTGTCCCCAGGCAGTGAGATAAGGCTGACTGGCCTGTAGTTCCCCAGCTCCTCTGTCTTGCCCTTCCTGAAGACCAGACAGGTATTTCCTGGCTTCCAGGCCTCAGGAGCTTTCCTGCCCTGACCTCTCTGAGATCATCAGGTGTCCTCACTGTGGCACTGGAGATGGGTTTTCAAGTGAAGGAATGGATTTCTCTTTAGCCCCACCCCACCCCATGGTAACTGCTGTCACCTGCTGCTTTGCCAGATGCCAAGAGTGAGTTTCTGCTCTGCTGCCCCCCCAGCCAAGCGGCAACACGCAGCAGGGCGGGAAGAAACTTCCAAACATATCTTGTCCCGGTTTGGCCCAATGACAACACAAAGTGAAGGCCCAGGGGTTCTGCACCAGCTTTCTCAGGGGAGAGACGCTACAATGTACCGCAGGCAGGCTGAAGAAATTCCCCTTTTCCTTTGCGGGCTACAAACCGGTCCGCTTCCTACAGGATCAGGGATTTGGCTGTGTTTTATGGCTACCAGAACTTCACCCATTGTCTTCTGCCCAGGCCACAAGGAGGATGGCCCTAAACACTGGAGTCTGGCAACTGATTAGTAGCAATAGCTCACCTGTAGGCCATGATCTTAACCGGATTGTGCTTCAAGCTTCTCCAGAGGAAAGGGACACATTTGCCTGTCCTCTGGGACAGGCTGAAGGTGCAGCTGTGACCAGAGCTGAAGGGAGTAGAGGAGAGCTCTGGAGGGTTCTATGGGCAAAGAAGGGGTGTAAAAGCAATATTAAGAAGGGGAACAATAAAACAAAGACATGTCCTAGATTGCAAAGTTTATTAAATGTCAAGTTAAATTATATACAGTGTATTACCTTCACAAAAATGTATTCATATAAAAAGGAAGAGTGTCACAGCAGCATTTAATGCTTTCCTCCCTGACTCTTAAATCCTTGAATTAGCCAGTAAAACCCCCAAATTTTTCCAGTCTTCTTCATCTCAGTACAATAATTCTTACTTTTCCAGAACTGGGACTTTGTTCTATACTCTTCTGATTGCTGGTGACTTTTCAGGATGGGAAATGACAACTCAGATCTTCATTAACAACTAGTATTCCCTGAAATAAGTAAAGCTGCTTGTATGGTTGCCACAACGTCCCACCGCATCTGGGCTACCAGCTGGGCAACAGACACCGCATCATCAGCTGTTAGCAGCAATAAAAAGACTAGCTATCTGATCACAGAAGTTCTGGAGAGTACTGAGGAAACTTAAAGGTGATGCATTAAAATAATTTTTTTTCCCTTGAATTAGAAATGTTTCAGGTGCACCACAGGTTTTGATGCAAGAGCTGCAAATGTCTGAAGCTGCAGCAATTTTTAAAACAGAAATCAACATCAATACTGTGAAAAGGTACTGAGTTTGTGCCCAATTCCCTCTCATGGTATTCAAGTGTACTGTGTGCGTGGCTGAGCACTATCACAGACGGCCCATGGACTCTCTGGAGTCTCCCTCCTTGGAGGTATTCAAAAGCCAACCCAGATGTGGGCAACTGCCTCTAGGTGCTCCTCCTTCAGCAGGGGGGCTGGACCTGATGACCTCCAGATGTCCCTTCCAAACTCACCCATTCTGTGATTCTGTGATAAAAAAGAACCATGTAACAACTCTTGGTACTACTACACACTCAGCCATTTGAAACCTACATCACATAAAGTGACGACAATGTAAAGTGCCCTTTTCTACAGCCTGAACACCTCTAAAACTTTATCAGCAGAAATAGTCACTGCATCAGAACTGAAGCAGCAGTGTAAAAGCACATC